TTCTTAAATTCTTCATTAATGTCTAAGAACATATGAGTGAAACACTGAAAGCAAAGAAGAATATGTTATAATATCTTAACCTCACTACATCTGTTATATCCAGTGCTGATGAAGCTTTTCGTTCAATACCTGGAATTATGTAGCTAGTTGAGATACAACAAACGTATCAAATCGAAATTCGTGGCAGATAACCCGGAGTGGTCAGAAACTTTTGCTTCTCTTCACCCTAACAAATGTAGTAGTGATCTGCATGCCATGTATACCAGTTTTCATGAACAATGAATGTTATGGTGTGAACAAGATTATAACTTATTAGCAAGCGAAGTTATGAAATTTAAGTCATTTACAAGAAAGAATCTTAGGGTTAAGAAACTATACATTTTCATTGTTTAATCTTTGTTCTTTGAGTTTGTGTAGCATTTTGTTAGAGTATTTCTGTCTTTTCTTTGAGTCATTGTTGAGCTTTCTGTGCTATTGGCAATATATTAATTATTAAACAATTCAAAATGCCAATTTGTTGCTTGACAACGTTGGATTGGGTTTTTTAATCTGTAAGTGTAAACCTAGTACAGAAGTTGGTAAATATGGATATCCCTCTTGAAAATATTCAAATAGTTATTTAATTCTAGTTCCAAATAGGGGAAACTTGAGAGGATGACACATCAGACTACCATCAACTCAGGATTGAGTCTGGCCCACTACCAACACAGAAATAGTCCTTCTCAGGACTTTACTCAAAACAGCAACAGATTAGTGGCCGAAATATAGGAAAAAAACTACTAAATAATTCAACTTAAGAGATCATATAAACTACTAATCATAACAATGACTGGTATACAATCACTTCAACCTAGCTTACTGTAAGTAGTTTATGCTAATATTGGTCAGCATTCATGCATTCTACTAACAGAATGCTTTCAAAATATCCCCTGCTCTACTAATGTTGTAAATCTTAAGTCCTTCAAGACCTTCTCTACATTATCATCCTGATCCAAACATTCATTGTCCACCTCACCTTTGCTTTGTTTTATCATGAATATTCTGCCTAAACCATCTCAACTGTATGTTGCCTTCACATTTTTATACATTAGTATAATCTTATATCTGCTGGTTTATGCTGGTTGTTACGTATCAGAACTTCAAATAGCCTGAAATTCAGTTAACTGATAAATTTAAATTTAGTAGTTAAATTGTATGTTGGATTTAGCAGTTAAATAAAAGCTGATATGTAGTCAGTTTATGATGTTTGCCAACAATGATACAATTTACAGTAACGGTTATAAAAAATAGTTATTACAAACAATGATTAATAAACAAAAGTTTCACAAACTTACAAGTAATATAAAGTCTTCCTTTTAATCTGGAACTTCTTCGATATCTTATCGAGGGTTCACGATGAGCGAGCTAATTATGAGTTGATGTAAGTTTGATTCACTTAACGGGAAGCTAGCTAGCTTTGTCCTTCACTGATCACACGCCAATTTTTCCACCAGTGACGTTAGGTAATGTTTTCGTAAAAAATACTAATGTCCGATGAAAATTCACTGAAGTTAAATAGTTTGTAATGTTCAAAATTTATAAATATTCCTGGTCAAATATCTGAAGTTTTCCGATTGATAAGCGTTATAACAATCACAGTTATAGCTTCCAAAGTTTATAGCACACCGAACTAATAATAGATACTCTCCTTTGGTGTGTCGCATTGGTTATATTTATAGGCATAGGAAGGTTTTCTAGAAAATTCAGATTACGTAACAATACAAATTAAAGCGTTTACGTACACACATATATATTGTTGATTCTTACTCTCGAAAATCTTCTACAACTTTGGAGAATAGGTGGGAGTTTCGCAATACATATTTAACAGTATAAGATATATATGTTTCTAAATATAAATTTAATCTAAACAAACGTTGATATTAAAAGAAATATATAATAACAAATTCATTTAATGGTATATTTGGTTATTATTGTTTTTCATAGAGAAGGAATACAGATTTGAAGTGTTCCAAGACAACTTGAAGAAGATTAATGTATTGAATGAGTATGAGAAAGGTACAGCTGTATATGGTGTGACAAAATTTTCTGATCTGACAGGTAATTTTATATTATCACACTTGCCATTACATTATTTTCCACTATTATAACTAGTTATCACATAAAATTGTCTCTTCAAGTTTGAGAAACATTGTGATTGAATGATTATGTATTTTATCAGGGCCCTACCACAAGGATAAATTAGATTTTTTTGAGGAAGGGTACAGAATTTATATGTCACACAGTGCACCATCAATGATCAGTACAACCCTATTTATCATAATAATGATGAGCATAAAAGTTTCATAACTAGTAAATTCAGTTGCATTGTATAACTTGTATAGTTGTTTGTTTTTTTTGCTTTTTCACACAAATAATATTTTATGTGTGTTACTCTTTATTGACAACACTTGCTTTATTACATGATTGTAAAAATACTTAATAGCTGTTTTATATTTTTATAAAAATGTTTTCTTTGTGCACATTAGAGTTATAGTCTAGTCTTGTCACTAGAGTGCAGTTATTTTTTTTATCTCTGAATAGAAAAATACCTTCCAATCTGTAAACAATACTCTTAGTTATTCATTTGTGGCCTGGCATGACCTATTAGATAGAGTGCTGGGCTGTGGATGAAAAGGTTCAAGCCACAATATGCCCCTGAACGTATTTTATACTTTCAGATATGGAGCTGTTAGTTCTGATATGCAGGTGGTAGGTGCTACTGATTGGTTGCTATTCTTCTAGTCATTAGTTTCAGATTAGAAATGGCTATACCTGAACATTGGGGTTTTGACCAAGCTGTTTGTTCTTAGTGTTACATAAAGAGCTGTTGAGGTTGAAATACCAAAAACTAAATTTTTTTGTGATAAAAATTATAAACTCAATTTGTGATAATTTGAGACAAAACTTAAAGATGGTTGAAATCACTTCATTCTATTCTAGTTGAAGAATTTAAAAAGCATTACCTGGGATTCCGCCCAGACCTGGCTCACAAGGATGCTACTCCACCAATGGTCAAAGTTTCTGTTGTTGATCCTTTGCCCAAGTCTTTTGACTGGAGGCAGAAGAATGCTGTGACTGAAGTAAAAAATCAGGTGTGAAGTTTTTCACTAAAACTGTTACACTTTTCTCTCTCTTCATAATCTTTGTTTTTTCTTAATAACATATGCATTGCATCTGTTGATGTGTTGTAGAAGAAGCTGGTATTGTAGGTTCAATTAAGCCCAAAACTCTGTTGGAATTCAAGTGATTGAATTTTGAAGAAGATTAATTACGAACTCACTTCAGTTCTCTCCAAGTTGTGTCATGTGACCTTAAAGGATGGGTGCAAGGATGATCATATTATGCACCCTTATGAAGTCTCTCTACTGACAGATATGTGTCAGATGATGGAGATTGGTTTGTGCTCATCTATTTAACTCTCATTACAATGTTTCTAAAACTTTAATATTCTTAATGGTTATGAAGTAGAAAACACCATCCTGATAATAGAAACTTTTCTACATTTAAAGTTTTAAAATGAGTACTTATTGTATAGAATTTTAAGATACCCAAAGAACTTTATCAATAACAAAAGAAATATTAAACTAAATACACAAAAAATTATTTTAAAAGCAGTTAAAAGTTAAAAAAAAAGAAGCAGTAGATATGACTAGCTTTTTTTCCTTCTTGTATACCAGGTGTTTTTCTTATGTTTTTACCTGGGAGGGGCAGAAACTTAATTTATGGTAATAAACTTCTTACAACGTTTGCAAAACTTGGGTGATTTATTAATCAAACAGAGAAAACCATAAACAACCACTGTCATCTGAATTGAGAACATGAAACATTCTCACCAACTTTTACATCCTCTTGTACATAGGCTATGTATGAGTTATTTTTTTTAATTAAAAGGTTTGAGAATAAGGTAATATATGTTAATTGAGAAGTGCAAATAATGGTCCAGTATATGTGTGTGTACACATATAAAAATAATACAGTCTGTAAGGTTTGGGTAAGCAAATTAAGCATGTAGTTTTTCAGATACTGTGATAAGTTGATTAAAAGGTCAGGCATTAAGACTACAAGATTTTTTTATGGTCATCAGACATGAATATGTTCCTCGATTGAGTGCTGTTTATATAGATTTTTATTAAATTTCATTTACAGCTACATATTAAATAATTTTATGTTTCTGCCTGTTACAATACTAAGTGTAAAAAACTGGCCAAATATAAAAAAACTGGTGAAATGAGTAATCTTTCGCATAAAATACATAGGATTCTCAAGAGGAATTAGTAAAATTTATTGCAATATTGATGATATTTTTGTTCAAATTCATTTGTTAATAAGTATCCTGTAATCAACAAAATCATGAACCTACAAGTAATGTACTACATAAATAGTTTAAAGAAAGATGTTTAAATAGCCAGCAGTTTCCATATGTTGTTGATATATTTATGAATATAATGTTCATTTGCAAGTGTTTAACAGCAAAGAACAATTCCATTTTTAATTACTTTGTTATATTTTTAATAAAGGGATCATGTGGATCTTGTTGGGCATTTTCCACTACTGGAAACATCGAAGGACAGTGGGCAATAAAGAAAAATAAGTTAGTGTCTCTGTCAGAACAAGGTAAGAAAAGTAAAAGTTTTTAATATAAGAGGCTATTAATGTCCTGTTGGAAGCTGCAGTTCTTGAATTAACAGTGATAAAATCTATATTAATAGAAGTGACAGTCACTTTGAACAGAAGTTGGCACTCCATAGATGTGTGATATGCTGATATGACAAAAATAAATCCCGCTGTTGCTTCTCATCTTATATATTTTATCTTATGCTGATAAAAAATTTTTAAATATATATAACTGCTAATTAAATCACAAGTATCAAATCTTAAAAAGTTTATCTCGTCTAACTTTATTGTTAATAGCTGCAATAAAATACAGCTTCTTATCTCCACATTTTCAATGATAATTTGAAAAAGGAAAAAAAATGCCAATAAAAGTGGGGAGGCAGCTGCAACAAAAAAGGAAATGGGTGGAGATGCTAAATATATTTATAGATAGATAGATATTTTTTTTTTACTTGGTCATAGATACTTAGTTAATGGATATACAGGTAAATTGAAATATCAATAATCATAGAGGTTGAGGTTACAACTGGACTACTGTAAAAGTGGCTACAATATCAGAGATTCATCCCTGCAGACTTTATCAGTCTTATTCCATTGCTGAGTTAGTAGAATGTCTATATAAAGGTACTGTGTTTATTGGTAACAATATATAATAAAATCTTACAAATAATACTGTGGAAACAGTGAGAAATATATATATTTTTTTCTGTGGTGACTGGTCTGACCAACTTATGTTCTAGTATCGGACAGTGCATGTCTGTATCCGGATATTCTTAATTTCCTAATGATTTATAAATTTTTTCTGAAGTTCTTATATTGTAAATTAATATTTTAATTTATGATTAAAAATCATTTTTTATTTATACTCAAACTTGATGGGAATGGTTTTATTATTTCTTCACTTATGGCTCCATTTGGGTTAGTAAAATCATCTGAATAATATCAAATAAAAGTTGCAATTTGTGCTATTTGAATTTCATAATAATTACTATGTATCAATATTTATTGCATTGTTTAAATTGTAACATTCTTCAGCTGTCAATAAATTAATATACTGAGAGTAAAGTAAAATCTTGCCATGAAAACTAAAAATACTTCTTACAAAACAGTAGGTTGCTGCCTACATCAGTTGGTTAACAAGCTGAAAGTAGTAGGTTGCTGCCTACATCAGTTGGTTAACAATCTGAAAGTAGTAGGTTGCTGCCTACATCAGTTGGTTAACAAGCTGAAAGTAGTAGGTTGCTGCCTACATCAGTTGATTAACAAGCTGAAAGTAGTAGGTTGCTGTCTACATCAGTTGGTTAACAATCTGAAAATTGTAGGTTGCTGCCTACATCAGTTGGTTAACAATCTGAAAATTGTAGGTTGCTGCCTACATCAGTTGGTTAACAATCTGAAAATTGTAGGTTGCTGCCTACATCAGTTGGTTAACAATCTGAAAATAGTAGGTTGCTGCCTTCATCAGTTGATTAACAATCTGAAAATAGTAGGTTGCTATCTGCATCAGTTGATTAACAATGATTAACAATCTGAAAATTGTAGGTTGCTATCTGCATCAGTTGATTAACAATCTGAAAATAGTAAGTTGCTATCTGCATCAGTTGATTAACAATCTGAAAATAGTAAGTTGCTACCTACATCAGTTGGTTAACAATCTGAAAATTATCATAAAGCATCAGTGTCAATAACCTGTCAACTTACTTTGATTTTACAAATATTTTCTACATCATTTTATATATTTTAAGAATTGGTGGACTGTGACACAGTTGATGAAGGCTGTAATGGAGGTTTGCCTTCGAATGCGTACAAACAAATCATGAAATTAGGTAAGTTAATTTCTTACATGTAAAAATTATTATTAGTTGTTCATATGGCAGTATGCTTTTCGTTTTGGTAATTTATTGTATAATATTCTCTTTGTTATAACAAAGTGGCAATGTTTATCACCTTCAGTTCATAGTGAATTTGATATTCTAATTTCTTCTTTTAAAACTGAGGTTCGTGAGTTTTCCAAAACATCCCTTACCAGTTAAAGATAAAGCTTTAATGTCATTTGAATTACACTTTGTTTTCTTTATATATATGAATTTTCTAAAAATGTTACGAAAGATGTCCAGTTCATCAAAACTGTGTCATTCAATGTATATTGGTATGTAAATCAGACCTTCTCTTCTGTTTTTTTTTTGAATTTTCAATATGATATAACCAGGTGAAACATTTTATTGTGAAATAGTTTGTCAGTTAATGTGTCAACTAGAGTACTACTACAATAGTCTATTGTACATTTATCAAAGCTGAAATGTTATACATGTGTTATACGTATGAATCAATTTTATGGGAGAGTTAGAAGTTGGCGTATGATGACTCCGTTACAGTAAAGTTTTCCGTGTGCATTAGGCCAATAATGCCTGCATTTGGTGTTTTGTTAAACAGGAATTAGTGTTAAACTCTCAAAATTTATAAATTGCTTAAAAGTCTTCAGAAATAAAATCTTTATCTTTAATATGTGTTTTTCCTGCAGGAGTTAGTTTCATTGTTAAGCAAAAAGCTACACAATGGGCTATCTATGCTCTACCCACCGTGAATATCAAAACCAGAATTTTAGCATTATAAGTCTGCAGACTTATCACTGAGCTACTGGGGGGCTTTACAGGAGTTAAAAAAAAAGAGAGAGATAAATGTTTACAAGTATTTTTTAAAAGGGAAGGACAAGTACATTTTACTTTAATTATAGTGTTTATGTGTCTTAAGATAAATATGACAGTCTCATGATCACTCAGCCAGTAAAAGTAACCCAGAAAAAATACAATCTTATTTCATGTATACCAGTTGATTTTTTTTTTAAACTACAACTTTAACTTTTCAGGTGGTTTGGAAACTGAGAAAGATTATCCATACAAAGGAGTTGATGAAAAATGTTTCTTCAATCGAAGCATGGCTCGTGTGAACATCAGTGGCTCTAATTCTCTACCTCAGAATGAAACTGGTAGGTCTGAGAAAGCAAACTAGCTAGAACTGGGTTATAACTAGAAAACCAATTGAAAGTGTATTATTTTTATGTTTTTTTGTTATGTGTTTCAGAAGTGTCTATATTCTTAAAATGCCAATATTTATTTATACTCTTATGCTCCTATATTATTAGATTTTCTGTCAATGTTAAAGAAAAAATTAAAAACATGCAAGAAAGAAGCATTAAAGTCATTGTGTATGTGCTGGTTCATAATATAGGTGTTCCTGATATCTTTAATTAGTTTGTAGGTAGCAAAATTTACTTATTCAAGTTAATTCAAGCTAACATAATGCACCTAATACTGTCAACATTTTCATGGCAGAAAATAATAAAATGGCTTCTATAATCATTAAACATTACTGTATTCTGAGTACAGGCTCTACCTGATATATCAGTTGGACCAAATCAGTGTATAGTACCTTAAATATTTAAGTGCCAAAAGCAGTGATTTCATATTTTATATATAGCACTGTTGACTTTCATCTCTCTCAAAATGTACTACTTATAAATTAAACTATATTGAATTATTTTATCCAATCTCTATCATATTTTTTCCATGCTTTGTTTCCAATACATCTCTATGTAAATGTATCGGTAATTAAACTCTACTTGCCGGTTCAGATTTTTAAATGTATTATTTGGCTTAATGTGATTATTAAACTTGTTTTTCTCTTCAGCATTAATAACTTTTAATAATTAATCTTATAATTTAAGTAAGTTTTAGATGGTGAGTAATGATTATTATTGTTTTGTGTAGTGAGATTCATCCACTTGCAGTAGTTTAATATTTGAAACTACTATCTCAGTTCTTCATCACAGGCCTGACAAAGATCAGCATTAGCTGTCTGTAACACCATCTTCAAACTGCTGCTAGTCAATGAAGCTCACTTTATCCTAAATAAAGTTGTTAATTTTTCTCTACTTGTATATGTAAGAAGAAACAATCACACTTATGGGTGTTGAAATAATAAAGAGAAGGCTTTTTTTTTCTAATTAATATCTGTTTAATATTCTTTAACTTAAGTATTTGTTTGAACTTATTCTATTAAAAAATAAACTGTACAAAACAGAATGACTGAAAAAATAATCATGCTCATCCATCTAGCAGTGACCTGAGAATATTGTAATTTAAGTCTTTAGGGAAACAATTAACTTCTTACTGTACACTAACAACTCTAAAAAAGTTTACACTTTTCAAAAAGTTGGAATTAAATATTTAAAAACAAAAGCAAAAATTAGTAAAATTGTAGAGAGAAATACACACACACACACACACACACACTAGGATGATGGTGGGATTGTCCTATGAGGAGAGACTAATATCTCTAAACTTGTTTTCTCTGGAGAGGAGAAGGGTAAGAGAAGATTTAATTGAAGTGTTTAAAGTTATTAAGGGTATTGATAATATAGATCCGTCAAACTTGTTTGTGTTTAGCAGTTAAAACAATAGGACAAGGGGGTCATAAATTCAAATTTTGGCAACATAGGAGTCGTCTGCAGTTTAGACAGTATTACTTTTGAAACAGAGTGGTTGGCTTTTGGATTAAGCTGCCTTCAAGGGTGGTGGAGGCAGAAAACTTAACTGAGTTCAAGAAAAGATTGGATGAATACATGAGTAGTAAGGGGTGGTTATAATTGGGAGCTGGAAGGGACATCTTTGATGGGCTAATAAGCTCTTTTTGTCCCTTTATAATTTTATGAAATATATACATACAGGTAGTAAATAAAGTAAAACACTTATATACAAAATTTAATTTGCCTTTAACTGAGAAATGTTGATGTCTGATAGATAATACTTCAAGTTATAACTTTTAAAGTTCTTTTCTACATTGATTTTACACTATAATAACTTATATTTTGCTTTCAGAACTTGCAGCTTGGCTTGTTAAAAATGGACCTATTTCTATTGGAATCAATGCTAATGCAATGCAGGTAAATGATCATAAGGTTTACTGTTGATTTCTGTTATGTAATGCTAACAGTTTTATGTCTAGGATCTGCAACTTGTAATGTACTAAAAATAGGGTCTGCAAGTTAAGTAGTTAACTACTTTCTAACGTGTATTGAAAACATAACCATAAATAATTTTGTGTAGCACTAAAATGCAATGAAAGCAAATTTGTAATCTGTCTCATATACATTTTTATACAATTTACATAAATATTCATTACTTAAAGAAAAAGCATTTTTATTGCTTGAATAAAAGTAAATTAAGAGTTTTTAATAAGCATCACCATATGTAAATTTATAATTTATGTGTAATGATCATCTCACACACATTTTGCAGAGAAACTTGCTAAGTAAAGGTATCATTAAATACTGATCAGAGCATTATTTTGGGCATATCTTATTATATGGTTCAAAGAAGCAGATATACAATATTTTGTGAATAATCTTTTGTAACATTATGGAGCGTGAAAAATGTTTTTAGTTGTATTTTTTACTAAATGTGAATCATGATTGTTTAAGTGACAACTAATTTTATACCAGTGTTTTTTTAAACGAATATTCTAGTTTTATTTTGGAGGTGTATCACATCCATGGAAATTTCTGTGTAACCCTGACAACTTGGATCACGGTGTTCTTATTGTTGGATATGGAGTATCTGGTAGATAATTTTAAATTATTTCTTAAAACTTAATTGAAGAAATAATATAACAATGTTTGTGTGTTTAGGTTAAATCTACATTGAAATACACTAATTTGTTAAAATAATTACTATTATGTAGTTTAAGATTTTTAATAGAATAAACATTTTTTAAACTTTTATCCATCTTTAACATGATAAACTGAACAAATTATTTCTAAAACTTTGCTATTCATAGAGTTAATTATGATCTAATAAACTGCATGTTTCTTATCATGTTAATTAACTTATTATTCTGTTATTGAGTTATAACAAGGTGTGTTTAATATAACTGTAATTTGTAAAATTCAATCTATAAGTTTCGTTAATTTGTAAAATGTAAGGTCATTAAAAATGCAAAGACTATAATTAACAAGTATTTCAGTAACCTATAAGCCAAGGATTATACTTATGTCACTACTTTCTAATGAGATTAAAAAACTTGTTCCTTTTATTTATCTGTACAAGTTAAAGAATGTTTATAAATTTTGTATAAGGATAAAATTGAAGCTATTCTTTGTATTGCGAGAGCTGTGAGAACTGTAAGTTAGTTAATTTTCTAAGCTAATTTTTATTTTAGAAAACAAGTTCTTTAGGAAGTCAACACCATACTGGATAATCAAGAACAGTTGGGGCAGTAGTTGGGGCGAACAGGTGAGTACATGCTATGTTATAGATTAAAGATATTGAAACTAAATTCTAATTAAATTTAGAGATAATTTTGAATCCTTATTTGAATCAAGAACTTTAAAATGCATCTCAATAAAAGCAGTGATATCTTGTAATCAGGAGTTATCATAAGGTTTAAGAGGGTTAAAATCTAGCTCCAATTAAAACTGGGTGCAAGGTATCATTGTGGGTAGTGTAAACACATTTTTATGAAATTATTTTGTAATCTTGTTTAAGGGTTAAGTTAGTATATACCCTATCTGGGGTAGATCAGGCTTTTTTCTCTTCACAAAAATTTAGCTTTCACATACTAAGCTTTCTAGCTCTAGGAAATCTGAATAATTAAATGCATATTTTCCAGGACAGTGTGTTTGAGATGGTCTGTATGGACTATTTGAAAAACTACAGAACTAGTAAACTATGCAAACACTGCATTAGGAGATATTGTCAAATAGGTCTAGGATCAGTTATGTGGCCATCTGGTACTACAGTGTTGAGTTCCTGTGTATTGCCAGTTTTCTTTCAAAAAATATAAAATAATTGTTTCATTAGGCCTTAAAATATGACAAAAGGATGTGAGATAAAAAAACCCTCGAAGAAAAGATGAAGTTCTAAGGCTGTATACTTGAGTTTCTCATAAGCATAATCGATAAAACTTATAGAATAATTCAAAATTTATCTTGTTTTCAGAAAATTAATGAAATAATTATTAAATCTTAGCCTTGTTGGTATTTTAGATACAAAAATATATGAATTTAAGGCTAAAATAAAGTAAGAGGGCTTATTACAATCATATGATGTATAATCTACTGTATAAAAACGAAAATCCCTTTGTTACACCAATATTTTGGCTGTTGCAATACCAGTCAACATGCAACTTGCACGAAACGACTGCACTTTCAGCTGTGACAAGCAAGTTTGTTTCTAAAATTCTTCCAGCTACATATATATATATATGTAAAACAAATGCTCTATTTTGGGCATATAATTAGATTTGAGGGTATATTGGTAGAAATTGCGATGAGTAATAAAATTGAATTGGGTATATACATGTTCCACGCTTGGAATTACTGGTACACAAAGAACAATCATTGGCTGAAACTCCCCATTACGTTTGCTTGGTTGTCAAGGAGACAAATTGACATCACCAAATTTTGTCCAATTGGAACCCTCAGCTACAACTCTATAATAGCCTGCATGTTTTACCCACAGCACACTTCAATTTTGAAAATGCCCAAATTAAAGCACACTTCTTCAGCTCAGCAGGCTAACAAAGCCAAAACCAGGAAGATGGTCCAAAGAGAAGACCCCAAATTCATAATAAAATTCACTGCCTTTACCATCACATTTAATAATTTGTAGGGCCATACACTTGACCAAGTAGGAATATGTTTTTGAGAATCAGTTTGTTTTTTTTTGCATGTTTCAGTCTGTAAGGATTTATCAAGAAGAAAATTTGAACACAACTTAAAAATATACAGAAGTCAAAATGCTAATCAAGTAATACTTAAAGGAGATGACCAAATATACATAAAAATATTTTAGTGAAATACTAGAAATAGGATAGTCATTCTCCATATATATATATATATTGTTACTAGATTATAATTAACTTTTAGAAAACATGTTCATAAATTCTTTATGTAGATATGGTTTTGAGAAGAAAAATTAATTATTATTTCCTGTCATATGATGGGCATTCAGCTTGTGTAAACTAGTAGGAAGATATTTAACTTCCAGCAAGTAGATGGAATACAGACATACTAAATTAATGTAGACACTACATGCAAGGCTAATGTTGATTAAAATGGAAACTTTTAATACCAGAAGTTTCAAACAGAGCAAGCAAAGACATTATATAAGAAAATAATGAGGGATGCATAAGTATGCTGACATATAGTTTAACAGAAGAGGATAGTGTTGTAGTTAACATAATACTAGTACATTCAAGTATGCTGCAAAAGAAGTATTAAGTATGTAAAAATACAACTTATTCAGTTGTTATAAATGTACATTTATGCTGTCTTCTAGGGCTATTACCGTGTTTATCGTGGTGATGGTACGTGTGGACTCAATAAAATGGCTACAACAGCAGTTGTCAACTGAAGTATCTTCATACATGTTTTCTTCAGCTAGCACCGAGTAGAAAAGCTATAAACACGGTTTCATTTGTAGAAAGTCACTGTATAGTAGCCAAGGTTGTTGATTATTAGACTTAATTGAACCATGTAACGATTAATTAAATATTGAAGAATCCACTAAAAATGAAGGAAATACACTGATTACTCTATAGATATTATGTTCTGTAGCTCAGTTTAAAAACTGTTGACTTTTTTGTATGGAGGTTTTTATGATACTGAGACTTGTTAAATAAAACTGCATAATATTCAAACTTTAACAGACTGTTGTGATGGTTATGGACACAAAAATGTGAAAAATAAAGTAGCAAGAAAATAAGTCATGAAAAAATTTCTGATTCAACAATAATAGTAACATTTTATATATATATATATAGAGAGAGAGAGAAATTATTTTTTAATTAATCATTATATTGACATTATATCTTTTCAGTCTTTTTATTTTCTTTCTAAGTGGTATTTAAAGCAAACAAATGAGAAATGAGGGGCAGTAATAATTGTATAGTAATTTGTCCGCAAACCCATTCTTTTGTTAATTTAAAAACTTGAAGATTTAAAATCAGAATATGCTAATGATAATTTCAACAAAAACTCTACTTTTAAGAAACATGGAGCAAGAGCTCTCATTAACTGAATGAAACAAAACTTTTCTTCACTTAAACAGACTTCAGGCTGAATATTGTAATTGCTTTTACAGGTTTACAATTATGTTTGGTTCTTAGCTTTCAGAAAGTCAACATTGCAGCTTTTAAACAGTTTGCAAGGTTAGATTGATATATATATGTATTAATAAATTAAAAACAGTTTGGTCTGCAATGCTTTATTTTTGGCACATAATTGTATTAACTATTTATATTAACCAAATGTGTGTGGGGTTGATCCATTGGACTGACCCCATATTAGAGAATGAATATTGATTATAATACTGTATTCATTGTATCTAAATGAAAAATGGCAAGATTGTTGCAAAATGTACAAGTTTGTTCTACATAAAATAAATCAGATGTGTTACAACATATATATCATATCTGATATTTACGCTCCTTTACCACAAACTATCACTAAATCAGCAGTGTTGGATAAAATGAATGGTTGATATCCCCGACATCAAATACATAATACTATGTTAAATGGCACTCTGTAAAAGGTCATGGCATGTGCACTTAAAAAATGATATTCATTTGTCTATACATGTGTAAAATATTACACCTTTTTACATCTGATTCTGGGCCAACTGCTTTAGATCTAATGCCATATTTCTTATGCTTTAGTTTTTCTTGCTCAAAGTATACTAAACAGTTTTTGGCATTATCTGAACAAAGTGAGTAGGATCTGGTTTGAATATGAAATCAATAAAAAGAATCACGACCTTTCCTAAGTATAAAAAGACATTTCACATGATATATTTTAACATTTTATAAGTGAACATAAAGCAAAATGTGAACTTAATAGGGAAGATGAATTCTGAAACAATACACATCATTTTAGCTCGTACTGAAACAGAACACTATTTTGTGAAAAAATAGTTCCAAGTTACATAAATTTTGAATTTACTTGATACCCTTGTGCAGTAGTATCTATTCACAATAAATGTAAAAAGTTAACTCTTGTAATCTAAAGCTAACAAATGACACTAAAACTTGTTAGCAAAGTTCTCAATTTTCACACTAGTCTGGCAGGAGTAAGCTGGGTTTTCAGAGTTTGTTCAAGAACTTTTAAAGAAGTCTGATTTGAATTTGATTCTCTGAAAGAAATGACCTCTCAAAACATTTTAAAGTTGTGAACACAGATTGTACGTGAGCTTTTTAGTGGTACTGCTCTTAGAAATGCTGCAAAAAATCAATAATTTTCAATGTGTGTATGAGTAATACAATCAGAAGTTGTGTAAAATAATCTATATACGTCAACTAACTTCAAGTGAAACATGGTATAACAGATGTGCAACATGTTACTAATGTCTTTATTATAGACATTTTTACTTGTGTTTACAAACACATTAGTTCTAGTTCAACAATACAGTTTTTAGCCATGATGATACAGTTCACAATCACATGTACTACAGTATAGAATTCAGTACTTCTTGACTACAAGATGCTTCTAATGCTATGACAGTATTTAGGCTTAGCACATCGAGGGAAATCCCAATCTCACAATACTGCTCAGTTTAATTTAAAGGCCACTTTGTTCACAGTTTTAAAGTAGTATCAGTGTACTTTTGTCCAAAATATGATTACACTCTTTCTGTCTGGAAAGGAGTTGTTTACATCTGGATCTGGTTTCTGTGATTTGTTAATAAGGCCCGCAGCTATTATTAGTTGACAATGTAGCAAAATTGTTGACTGTGCATATGAAAGTGTTAAACTGCGGAATAAAATTAAATTAAGAGTAAGCCATTTTATATTAATAAAACTGTTTTGACTCCTGCTACACAAGTTAGTTAATATTGGCGAAAATTGTAAATCAATGACAATATACCTAAATTTAAAATGGTCTCCTAACCCTACGTTCGCAAATGAAAAAGTGAAGTGAAAATAGATTTTGTTTACAATATTTTCATTTACACTATTTGACTGGTTTAAATTATAGGTTTTTTACTTTTCACAAATAAAATACATTATTATAAAATGTAATGCTGAAAATTTAAAATTATAACAGTTATGATTTACGGTTAATTGCAAAGTGGGTGATAATTCAGATTTCATATCAACACATTTTAGAACTTAGATGGGAGTATACAGTAATCTGAAAAAAGTGTCACAAGAAAAAGCTGCTACCAAACTTTACAACATACATAGAAATGTTCAAGAGGCTTTCTCTAATTGAAACACTTTCCTTTGAGAGTATTGAAAAAATAGCTCTTGAAAATTTTCTAGACCAGGGTTCGACAACCCAGGCTCGCGTGTCACCCTGTGGCACACAAAGAGAGTGTTTAGGACGCTGATTCACTGATAAAAGAAATACTAAAGTATATTTTTTACAAAAACGAAAGAAGAAAAAAACATCCCGAGAGTTTTTTTAATTAAAGTACAATTAAAATACCGTATTTTTCGGTGTATAAGACGCACTTTTTTACCCCAAAATGAATAATATATATGTATAT